TGGACTTTTTTTTTGTTGAAGATATTTTTACTTTAATCTAAATTACATTTGTGATTGACAATCTTTGCTGTGATACTTTTATGAGCATAAACATTTATGTCATCAACATTTGGTTGAAAACAAAATAGGCCACCACAATCGTGAGCAAAAATGGGAAAAATAAAATGTATTTCCCATGAAGGCTAAAAATGGTGTATAATTTCAGTTAACAAACTTTGCCATCTTATTTAAATTGAAACAGATTTTAAAATAAATTGTACAGTACATTTTGCTCTGGTAATCCACTGGAAATCCACCCCTCTGGTGGGATCAGGGTAATCCAGTTTTTTGGGATCAAACTGATCCCAATCCTGTGTTGTCGGTTTGAACTACCCGTTTTGAAGATTTGATCCAGATTAAAGCTTTGATTGGATTTCCTGATCTGATCGGATATGAAAGTGATCCTAATCCTTTTTTTGGTTTTGAACTCCCCAAAATCCAAATCTGATTTGATCAGATAGGGATTAAAAGTTTTGAACTCCTGGGCCCTGGACATCAAATCCAAGCTTTAATCTGGATCAAATCTTGAAAACAGATAGTTCAAACCGACAACACAGGATTGGGATCAGTTTGATCCCAAAAAACTGGATTATCTTGATCCCACCAGAGGGGTGGATTTCCAGTGCATTACCAGAGCAAAATGTACTGTACAATTTATTTAAAAATATGTTTCAATATAAATAAGATGGCAAAGTTTGTTAACTGAAATAATAAAAAACATTTAGCCTTCATGGCAAATACATTTTATTTTTCATTTTTTGATCATGTTTGTGGTGGCCTATTTTGTTTTCAACCAAATGTTGATGACATAAATGTGTATGCTCATAAAAGTATCAAAACAAAGATTGTCAATCACAAATGTAATTTAGATTAAAGAAAACATATCTTCAACAAAAAAAAAGTCAATCATCTGTCATCACCTTTCAAAAATAATTGCGGACAATAGATGTCTCTGCAATGTGGTCTCTTAGCTTCGTTGTATTATTTTTCGTATCCACTAGATGGAGATCGGTAGGATTAAAGCACTGATATTCAGGATCTAGTAATCTTGAAAAGTCTGAATCTGGATCAGGGTGATCCTATCCTGAATTGCTTTGAAATACTGGGACAAAATCTGGCCGAGTTGTCTGATCCTGGATCACAAAAAAATGGGATTTCAAAATCTGATCGGATCTGATTGAGATGAAAAGTTTTGAACTACTGGGCCCTGGCCACCATTTTTTAAGCTGAATTTTCCCACCACGATGTTGGGTGCAGAGCCTCACAGTGAAAACAGCTAGCTAGTTTTGTTTCTCTGGTTTCCTCCGCTGCTAGCTTGCACGGCTCTGTTAAATGAAGATAAACTGTTCTGTTGCACTTTGAAAGGTCAGTGCTTGACATTGTTGCCAAACAACTTCTTGAAAATGTAGTTTTTAAAGTGAACTTTAGGAAATAGTGTGAATGAGAAATGAGACACAGTTTATTGTGATGAAGCACTGCTGCCCCCTACATACACAGTATATAATACATGACTACTCCTCGTGTTTCTGCATTTTTCAGCCTGGTGGCAGCAGTACTGTAAACACAACATTGACAACATATATTCTCACAATAGTGGTAAACACCTTCCAGGACACAGAGCTACATTAGCCTTCATTAAGAGTTCAACAGCAGGTTTCTCATCAGGGCGTTTCATTGAGTAAAATCTGCTCCAAAACAATGAGTTGAAAAATACTGAAATGCCCATTGAGAGATAGCGAGATCTCTCTGTGGGTTTCTCACAACTGTTGTCTACCTCCAGTCACATGATATATTTTTTTTATAAAAATAGTGAGAAATTAGCATTACAAGTAAAGTTGTGTGTACATGACTTATATTAAATGGTCTAAAACATGCATTAACACTGGAATGGTCCAATTACTTACTATAAATCACTTTCAGACATCAAACTTCGCTCATCCCTAAATAAGCAAATAACACATGTAAGTAGTTTAATCAAAAGGGGATAGATAACA